TTGTAGAAACCTACAAGTGTAGAGAAAGACGTTTCGAAAGTCTTCCGACCTGAAGACGAAAGGCGGGGGACGTTTTTGAAACTTTGTCCTCTACATTTGAAGTTTTCTACAACAGACAGTTGCTGTCCATTTGAAACTTAGATTCATTATGAATACTCTGCCTAAACAACCTATCAAAGTTATATCCTGTTGTTGTTTTCTTTCTAAGATAATTTTTGCTCTGCACTTTATGTAGCCTCATGACAAGAGTCTTCACCTAATACTATACATTCAAGGTTTAATTTCTACTTCACATGCACAATATCAATTTTAATAATGTACTTAATATTTCACGTAACCAACTATTGGATAATAAAAATAAAATTATGAATAGACAGACTTATCATGAATTTTGAAAGTATGTATTAAACTGAAAATTTGAGTATAGTTAAAACCTGTCACAAAGTAAAATATAATAATAAAGTTTTTACACACAGACCATGGATGAAATTATAGTTTTCTTTAGATTTGTTTTACTGGACAGTTACTCTTTACCAGTCTCATACCTACATTTTTTAACATTCTTCAGTTTCATTCAATAAACATCGTTACTTAATAAACAAAGGAGAATGTTAACATGTTAAAAATATCACCATACTGTTTTGAAATCGTACTATGAATTAAGGAAAGCAGTAGCTTTCAAGTATTGATGTAAGTAATTAATGCCTTCCATTTAACAGATGACATACTACAGGCAAGTTTTTAGCTGAGGTTTCTATGTCTGTCACTTTTACTGTCTGCAGCAATTTACTTCTTAAATCAGAGCTTATATGAGGTAAAATATTTCTATTTCTAAAGCTAGCACCAAATACAGATGACAGGAAGTGATCCATATTTGTTTTAGTTACAGCAATCTGAAAATTGTGATCCCGGGAAAAATGTAATCACTAAGGGATGGTGTAACCTATCAATTCATTATAAAATTATATTCAAACTATTTCAAGTCAATGTTAACTGTATACAGATCCATAAATAATTTTTCACGTATGATGTTGCAGGGACAAAAATAAGATGCAACTCCTTTTTCTGACCTTCTCAAACAATTATTTTATTACACAAACTCCAATCTTCAGTACCATATATAAAAAACCACCAATACATGTAACTATGCTGAATACTTACCCAATTCGCATATTACCATCTCCATTTTTCACATCTGCTGTCCAAACTCCAATTTTGTCTCCCTTCGGACGAATCTGTACAACAGCCCCGCAAACATCATCACTGTATTCGTCAAAGGCTTCGCCAATCAAACAAAGAAGCTAAAATATTGAACAAATTAAGAAAATATTATATATTTTCACGTATTAAAACAAACTCGACTATCTCACTATTCTCCGGGATGGTAGTTTTTAAAGAGTGAGTATAACTGATAACTGAAACACAATGATATGGGTTTGAAATCTATGTAACAAATAGGCTTAGCTTAAGTTTATCTATGACATATGGGAGAACACGCTGCATTGCTGGTATACTCCTACTCGAGTCGCACATAAAGTTAAGCTAAGCCTATTTCTAAATACCATTGTGAATGTGTAGATAAACTAATTTCAATGTCCATCAGTGATCACTAGTCTTACAATGGTGTATAGTTTGAGCATAATGGTAAAATACATGGAACATTTAGAAAAGGTACGTATCTCAGTTTTATGATTTTCACCATTAACCCAAAATCTTGTCAAACTTTACTTTGTATCTATTTTATTATAGGTGTTGTCAGGTGCAAGGTAGCTTATTACATATATATCCATCAAATACATTTACAAAACACAAATGTTCATATACTGAAATATTTAGAAACAGTGAAAATAATATAATTTAGTATAATATCAGAAAACGTTTACAATTCTAACTTTGAGAAACAGCAAGAAAGATTACAAAATCATGTTTCATGTCCACAAATTACATTATATACAAAAAAACAAAATTACAATGTTAACTACTAGAAGGTGTGGGAGGGAGGTTAAAAAGTCAGTTTTAGTTCAACAGGGTAGGGATGCTGTGATTGACACCACAGGGTTTACGAGAAAAAGAAAAATGTAGACAACCAATGTAGTCACTGTTGTAGCAAAATGTTTTTGTATGGGAGTTTTAAAGTTTCAGATTGCACGTGCGTGAAGTCTGTTTTTTTTTCTCAAACAGTATTTTTACAATAAGATAGTTAATAAAAGGAAGAAATGCTACAATTAAAAGGTAATTTATGTAAAATTTGGGCTAAATGGCCAGGTAAGAGACACTCAAGGCATAGGCATAGCCATCTCTAATTTAGAGCTGCCGATAAAAAGGTGGGCAACTAATCGGCAGCACCTGCCACTTATGGGCAGACAAGAAGAGATACGGGGAGTCTTGACCTCCTCCCCATTTTTTTTAAGAAAATAAATAAAATGGCCATACATCCTTAGACTACCATGTAGTTTCGAAAAAGAACAATAGATGGCAGCATTTATATTTGATTGGACTAACTGCCATTAAAGCTTTTCTTGAGTTTTCTGAAGTCAATTACAGCCGTAGGCTACAACAAATTGGTTATGCATTCAGCCAATAACTGATTACTTCTAAGCTAATACAACCATATGAACATTAATTAAACAATACCACTGTAAGTTAAAGTTTTGGCTTTTTCCAGAAATTAACATTAGAGGGACTTTTCTAATCAAAGTTTGTATTGCTTAAAACAGCTGCAGCTTTTATATAACAGACTTGTTATAGAATTCAACTTTCATTGTTTATAAGTTAAAATTCTCATGAGAAAAATGTTTTTCATGTTGTTGATGTCCAAAATAAGCCAAAATACAAGTGGTATGACTGTATAAGTAACGACTTCAACATTTTTTTTGGAAAACAAGTATCTTATAAATAAATGCTGAAATATGAATTTAGGCATAGACTTTATAATTTTGTTTTATATCTATGGTTCTAAATATTTAATTTTACATGAAAAATATGAAATGTTTAACTATTTATATTTTCATATCAATCATATTACTACAAATTACTTTGAAAGTACTGGACTATAATCTCACCGAGCTAATCATAATGACTTTTGTTAACTTTCTAGTTATTAGTAGTGTAAAATTACAGGCAAAATAAAGAATGAAAGTAATTAGATTTATAAGTAGAGATAGTAAAGATCTAGTTAAACATAGAATTTTCCTACCCATCCAAAAAGAATAGATTAATCTTTGCTAAGAGCCTATCACCCCTTGAGAATATATTACCCATTTCCCTTAGTTTTTGTACAGGCCTTGATTGAAAACTTATGATGCCACATCAAGTGATTTGATTATTCACTACACAAAGCTACAAAGAAAGTTTAAATGTGATTGGGTATAGCACAAATTAGACTATCGGTCATAGCAAAGTAAATATATATAGGTTTGAGTTTTTTAGTTTCTATAAATTCTTTTCTCTTAGTGAAACTTTGTGTAT